TTTTTTTTTAGGGTTTGTCAAGAATTCAACTCAAGAGATTTTATTTATATTTAAATTAAAAAATACTAGAAGAAACAACAAAAATGTCGTTACCTGGTGAAGAAAAGGAGATAAGGATGCAGCCTTCTTCTCTAGCCTACAACAACAACAACAACAACAATCACCCTCTCGACAGCCCCGTCGCCACCCCGCCGGAGATTTCTCCCCCCGACCTTTTCTCCGGCGGAGGATCAAAGCCGCGGCCCGCCGCCAGCTACCGCGAGTGCCTCAAGAATCACGCCGCCGGCATCGGCCGCAACGTCACCGACGGCTGCGGCGAGTTCATGCCCAGCGGCGACAATGGAACCCTCGAGGCCCTCAAGTGCGCCGCCTGCGGCTGCCACCGCAACTTCCACCGCAAGGACTCCTCCGCCGCCGCCGCCGCCGGCGAACACCTTCCTCCTCCGCCGTCCGCCGCCATGGTCCACCCCCTCCAGCTCCCTCCCCCTCTCCCCTCCCCCGCCGCCGCCGCCGCCGCCGCCCTCTGGAGCCCCATGGCCCAGCCCGTCAAGATGGCCTTCGCCGCCGGCGGCGGCGGCGGAGGCGGCGGCAGCATCGGCACCGACTCGTCCAGCGAGGAGCTGAACTACAACCCGTACGGCGGCGCCGTGGCCCCTCCTCCGCCGCCGTTCACGGCCAAGAAGAGGTTCCGCACGAAGTTCACGTCCGGGCAGAAGGAGCGAATGCTGGAGTTTGCCGAGAAGCTCGGCTGGAGAATTCCTAGGGAAGACGACACAGAGGTCCAGAGGTTCTGCTCGGAAGTCGGCGTGAAAAGACAGGTGTTCAAAGTGTGGATGCACAACAACAAAAGCGCCTCCAAAAAACCTCCGGAACAACAACAACAGCAGCAAGAACAACAACAACAACAACAACAAATCCTCCGAGGATAAATAGGTTTTAGCTTTGTTGTAATAATTAATTAATGGGCTTGTGTTCGACTATGTAGCTTTTTAATTAGCTTGTGGGGATCTTTGTTTAAGAAGTAGCTTTGTAGTTTGCATGTAACAACTTCTCTTCACTTCTTCGACTCAATTTCTCTAAGAATTGCTTAATCACTTGTTTTATTTGATTTTGATGTTTATTTTATCAATGTTGGAGTTCTTGAAATGTTATGTGTTATGTGGCTCTTTAATTAATGTTTGGGAATGTTTGAGATGTTGAACAAAGTTCGATGGTAGCTAGGAATGTTTGCATTATGTGTTTTGAAGTATGGCTATTTTCGATTGGTTTGATGATTGCTGGGAGGCTGTCCTTTTGATCAATAATAAATATTTTCTTGTGGTTTGGGGAGTTGGTTTGTGATCAATGGGAAATGTTGATGATGACAATGGAGCAGTGAAAGAATAGTTATAAAGATGCATTAAATGTTCACACCATTCAATTAATTTTACTGCAAAACGACTGCAAAACTGAAACTCATGATAAAACAAGCTACATTTAGCTAAGGTGTTTTTGATCCATTTAAATTTTGGATTTTTTTTATACGTGAATATTGGAGGAGGTTTTGATGCATTTAGATTTTAAATTTTCAAATTGGGCCATTAATTCAAAACCTATTATTTTTAAAATATGTTCAAATTATTATGATTTTGTATTATTTTTGAGCGAATGTATCATTATTACTTTTTTACTTGGTATAAAATGAACATGGTTTTGTTACGTCAATAATATTGTTTTAAAATATTGGGTTTTATTATTTTAATTAATTCAATAAAATCCTAATTTAAATATTGAATGTTTATTTTAATTAATTGAATAAAACTATAGTTATGTATCCTTAAATTTAAACACTGAATGTTATTTGAATTTTTACAATAACCTCTTTTAAATTTGGATAACTTGTTTAGCTGTTTATTTATACTTATTTATATTAGAAGATCTTCCCATAATCTTTGAATACCTAATCCTAGCTCGTTGATTCAGGTTTAGATTAAATTGAGACTTCTCTAGTTCCCTATAACAGTCATTTTATATTTTTAGGAGCACATCATATAATTTCTAAAAACCAAGTATTGATAGGTCAGATAATCATATAATTCTACCCAGTTTATTTATTCATATTCGGAATACTGTAAGCCTTACATATGATTTAAGTTAAGATTAAATATTGAGTGTGTTCTGTAGTTAACGTGAGTTTGTGAATATTCAAGAAGACGACTTAAAGAGAATGAAGAAAACGAAAACAAAGTCAGAGTTAGAGGTACATAATAGTTATGTTCTACTTAAGATGAAATTATCCGGTAAAATACTCACGGTTAACGGCAAACGTCTTCGAAATACAACACTTTTTGACTTGTATATATTGGTATTTTATATATACAAGCATTCGGTGAAAAATACTATTTTTTGGAACTCTCAGGGTTTGATTGTTTATGAAATAATTTGTCCAAAATGAGTTACTTTGGTTACCCATAGTTAATTTTGAAAAATGTGGTATAGATAGTTGTTAATGGAATTTTAAAAAAGTATTAAAATAATATTTAAAATAAAATAGTTAAAATTGTTTTGATGTAAAAGTATGAGATAAATGATTGAAATGATAGATAGTTAAAATTATGTGAGTGGATGAATAGTGAATTAAAGTTGATGTGATGTATAAGAATGATTGGTTTGCATTATTTAATTATATGAATAATATTAAAGATAGTGAGGTTGAGTTAAAGTTGAGTTAGATTTTGAGTATGAGATAAATGTGAGTAAATTAACTCATAAACAAGCATGCCCTCAAGACTTCAAAGAACACAATATGTTTTATGAACTTTGGAAATTTGATGCAAGAGCTATTAATTTTCAAGTTATGAATGATTTCATGTTTGTGGGTTATAAATGTAGGAAAACACTTCCAAGAGTTTTAATGTCAAAAGACACCTTTTGAAACGTGACCGAACAAGAATGGACGCATCTAGAGGCCAAAAGACATCTTATGGTCACCAAGGATCGCGATCCTCCACTAGTTGTGACCAGTTGCGCCCATGCGCCGCGAGCTCGTACAAGCTCATTCGGACTCAGAATCGAGTTTCGCTTTTTTCTAATTGTCCCCAACGAACCCTTCTAGAGTATTGACATTCAAGCTGCATGGACATGTCTCGTTTGGATTATCCTAATATTCGTCAAAGACAATATATTTTATAGGTGTGTGTTGTTATGCCTTTTGTTTTTTGTTTTGTTTTTTTTTTTTTAANGTTTTCAGTCCACATGCGTTTGACTTTTAGTCTCTTGTATAGAATTGTTTTGTTTCCTTTATGAAGTTTTTTTTGTTTGCGGGTGCTTGTATTCCCTTGGTTGTCTGTGTAATTCTAACGGAGGTTCATCCAAACTTTGTTATGATTCTAGTGGCGTCCTTTGACACCTCGAGTGTACTCCAAGATTTTGAGTTTAATATAGTTATCATTTGAGAAAAAAAAATAAATCCACATCAACAACACTAATAATTAGCAAAAGTCCACCTTACCATGTTTGGCTTATATATGCTAATTTCTCTCTCTCTTGAATTTCTACCTCTTTCTCTGCTACCCTAATTACCGATCTTCGTGCCTTCCCCATCTGGCACCGATCCATCCTGACGGTTGCCGGCTTCAGGCTGTGCGATTTTCCTTCCGAATTAGTGTCAGTGCCTAGCCTTTGCAGCGCTGCAAGAGGATGGCATCCCAGGAGCTTCTCGGCTTTTGTGTGGTTGTCGTCCTGTGGTGTTGGTAGGGATGTAAATGGGTCGGGTCGGGGTGAGTTTTGTTAAACCCGAACCCGACCCACATATAATTTACCCTTCTCAAACCCAACCCGTTACTCGGTTAGTGAACTTCAATTTCGGGTCGGATTTTACCCAACGGGTTATTGGGTCTTCATCGGGTAAATGGGTAGCACGAATTTTAAAATTTGGGTTTCAACCGATCCTAACCTGACCCGACCAGCTTCATGCGTAAAAAATTAAAGAAAATAATTCCACAATTAAATATAATGTAACTAACAGTTTATTAATTAAGTATGACAATTAAATGACTATAAGAAAATTCTATATTATCTTTGGAATAAATATTGAGGTATAATTATTTATTTTTTATAGTCGTTAATAATATAACATTTATAAATTAAGTTTTAATTTTTTATTGTATAACTAGAAGAAACATTGATTTTTATAGTTGGGTCATCGGATTCCAAGGGTCGCGGCGGTGGTGGGTAATGGTGCTTCTTCGGGGGGGCTGCAGCTCTAGTAGCCTGGTGGCGGTGGTCAGGGCGGAGAACGGCGGGCCTTCTGCTATGTGTCCTTTCTTCCCCTGGTGTTGGGTTTAGGCGTTGACTGGAGTTTTCCGTTCTGGGTCCGTGGTGTGGACTGGGTTTGGGGCGGCAGTTGTTTGGGGGAAGGGGGTTAGGTTGGCGTTTCTCCGGCTGCAGGGTTGGGGTCAACTGTTTGGGCGCGAGGTCGAGTTCTTTGGTTGCGGTTCCAGTTAAGCGTATTTTGGCAGTTTTTGGAGCGACGTCCATTGGGATGGTGGTTTGGGTTGCCGCCGTCGTGTTGCTCTTTGTGTGTTTTGCCGGAGGGCTTTGTCTTGTTTTAGTTTTTTTTAGTTGCTTTGTGTTTGGGTATTGTATTGTTGGTGCTTATGTTTTTGTGTTTGGGTGTGGTGTTTTTGGTGTTTTGTATTGTTGTGTTTTATGTTTCTCTCATAGGGGATATTTTGGTGTAGGAGAGCTTTATTCTCTAGTTGTGGAGTTAGATAGTATTATGTTTGTTGTCTTTGGGTGCATTTATTTTGTTTTGTACTAGTGTAGGTTCTAGGCGATCTTAAGATCTGTACTTCTACTTGATTTGGCTCTAGAGCTGCTTTATTCAGCTATCGAGCTGTTTTTTAAATGTAATTATGCGTATTTATATAAAATTCTATCGTTCAAAAAAAAAAAAAAAATCTACACTATGACACCCCTTTTTAATTTGCGAGAAGACAACCCAAATTTATGAGTTTATTTCTTTCATACTTGGTATAGTATTACAACTAAACAAATATTTCAATTTATGCCTGAAAGAGTTATATTTTTGGCAATGAAGTTCAAAAATTAATATAAGTGAAGATATATTCTTGCAAGCATGAGAAATAAAAAGGGAAGTTCTTTTATTTAATTTATATTTATATATTCGAATATATTTATATTTATATTTATATATTCGATTTATATACATATATATTAGATTTACATGATCTTATTATGGATATATTTTGTAGGAAATCATATAAGAAGGAAAGAGAAGATAGAGATCTACACCTACCATATCTCTTTGGATAAACTTGGAAGGAAATCAAAAACAAAAGGAGTCCTATACTTGGAGAACACTCCACATCCTAGGGATTGTATATATACCTGCTTGAAGAACGAATTTTGGAGAGCTGAGA